AAGCCAACTTTCTCCCTCAAATATATTCTAACAAATATATACATGATTTATTCTCAAAATATATCCTTTTGTACTCTTTGGATTTTAAAACATGGACATTTGATATGCTTAAAATAATATGTTAAAAAGAGAAAGTAAATAACAAAGGACAAAAAGCCTTATCTCCCAGTTCTATGTGACAAAACGAGGTATAGAATTACTCTTTATAATAAGTGATCACAAGAAGAAAAGTCAATGAGAACCACTACTTTGGCTCCACAGAGAATTTCCTGCAGTATAGACTCACACGTGCTAAATTCATCCTACACACACACAATCCTCTAAACTCACTGTATTATATCTACCTCAATTAAAATACTGCTACCTCAAAATGATGATTCAGGCAAATTCTTCTTTTAGACCTTCCACAGACTTTGCTCTCTTTCAATTACCACCCCTTTCTAACTTTTTTTTTAAATCACATGGTCCGCTGAAACAAAACTGCTTGCTAACCCCAGCACGTAATCTGGCCTTCTGTGTCCTAGGATAAGCCATTTAAATCAAGAATGGCTTTCCTGTCTGTCAGGATGGTTGAGCAATGTGTTTGTGATACCCATTATCTCAGTAACTAGCAGAGTTGATTCAGCTGATCTGACAGGTATGTAGATGTACCTTCCCTCCTTTACCCTGTGTAATTATCAATCCGATTTGTGTCTGTGTGTCATATGAGGGGAAGGTAGAGAATACCGAGTGTCAGGGTTATTCTGAGCCTGAGCAATGTTGATGGTACAGGACATGTTGCTTTGTACACATTCCTTACATTTTCTTTGGCCACTTGTTTGTATCTCCAATGAACAACTAAGACTGTAAGCTTCTTAAAAACTGTATTCTGTCCTCTATTTCTATTTCTTCAGTATTTGTAACAGAAATTATATTACATCATACATAATGTAATAAAAGTTATAGATTGTAACTTTAAAGTAGAAGGAATTAATTTCTAGACTCTCTCCTGCGAGTTGTTTCCATTCACTTTGGAGAAAAATAATATCCATAATATAATATTGCTAAGTACCAGTAATAACACCCATAGGTATGGCTGTATGACCAGTAAAATCTCATGTCAGATTTTCACTATTCTAAATATTAAGTAAATGTTTAGAAACCGTTAACAGAATTTTCTTAAAAAAGAAAACAAAAAGTTTGAAATAGATGTTCTTCCATTTGCCAAGTTTGCATAGAATAAAAGAGAAGTTAACTATCCTATAAAATAACTTTGTAACAGTCAGATAAATCTTAGCATTAAAACTGACAATAAGGCAAGAAAAAAAAAGCTATGCTTTCAATTTATTGTTCTTAAAAATACTCCAAACAAAAAAAAGACTTACAGTCTCATTTATTACCACTGATTTAAAGTGAATCCTAACATACCCATTTAATTGAAACAGAAAACCAAATTACCTGCTAGTTTGCTTCTGTCGTCTCCTGCAACAACAACAATCCAATCCCTTTGGATTGTGATTGTGGTAGCGGTACTGGCCAAATTTGCAATATTTGCAATAGTGATGATGAGGATATAGCAGGAAGTCTAAAGAATTACAACAAAAAATTGAGTTAAAATGTGTTTACACCACTGTACCTACTATACCTCACTATAGAAGGTAGTTTAAAATGGTCTTTAGTGGCATAATAATACAATTTTGATTTTAGTTTCATTTATAAGAAATTATTTTATTATGTATATGTAAAATAATAAATACCAGTAGTCAAGTTAAAGGGAATAATGTTGTCCAAATCTATATCATCTGTAGTACACATAATATAAAAATTATAATAACCATGTGAACATAGTTATCATAAAATGTTAACATAGTAGTGGTTTTTAACATTTCTCCTATAAGTATCTCCTTTGAAAAGAATTCTGAAGGAGAACTGAGAAGACCTATATTTAAGTCAGAGTTCTGATACTTTCTAGGTGCATGACAATGGGCAATCAACTAACCTTACTTTGTCTTAATTTTTTCATCAACAAAATGAAGGGAATAGGCCCAAAGACTGCTACTATCCTACTTGGCTTTGAAGCTCTATATCAATTCAAATATACATAAGAAGGTTCAGTATGGATAACATTTCTTATATAGGGTGAACAAATTATAGGTTACTAAAACACTGGAAACTAACAGCTGAATTATATAATAAATTCTTAGAGATGCCATTAAAAACCAATAGGACAAAATTTAAATTCACACAATATTTAATGGGTGCCTGTTATGGGAAAACAGCAACAGCAACAAAACAAACTATAGGGGATATTATAGTAGACAGATCAATAGTAAAAGGTCATGTTTGCAAAAAAGACACTCCCTAGCTTCAAAGCATTTTCATCTTTTACCACTACCAGATATTCAATTTTCTGCCTTCAAGAATCTTGTTGAGAACTTACAAGAACCCATCCATGGTACATGGTCAGAAGCTCATTTTTATATAAGAAAACAATCATCAGGATGATTCCACACAGGATGACTGAAACATTCTGTACCACCAGCGATGTCTGGGCCACTGTACAGAGGAAGAAACAAAGTGTTCACTATACCAAAATGTCTTAGTGGGGCTGTTTTTATCCACACATCAGTGTTCTACTACACTAATGCGTATGCATAATTACTACGAGATAAAAGAAAACCTTCCTGAAGTAAATCCTGCCTCACTTATTTGCAGTACGACCCAGTGGGTCACACCAGACCAGAAAGATTTGCAAACAAAATGATGAAAGACCCACCATTTTTTCTGTTAGTTGAAGTCTTTCATAATTACCATATTTCCATTTATTCTCTTGAAAGTTTGCTGTCATAAACAGAACTACAGCATTACATAGATATGATCTATCTTTCAGCTCTTTGTTGCTTAAGCTAAAACAAGAATATGTAGGAGGTTTATGAAGGAGGTTAAGGAGGAAGTTATGGAATCCATAACCTCCTGCATGGCAGGCTGAATCTGATAAGATGGTATGGATAAATAGGAAAGATATGCAAAAATTTGCCAAAAATAAAGAAGCAGCGTGTTTCTTTTGACATACTAATGCTATTTGCCTTCCCTACAATATTCTAAGCTACACTTTCCATCATGGAAAACAGAAACTCTCAGAGTGAGGCAGCCATGTAGATAAAGCACTGGAGTGAGGACAGGTAAGGACACCTGGTAGTTTTTTCTCTGCCACTCAATAGGTAGATGATCCAGGGCAGGATACCTAATGTCTCTTACACTTGTGTCTATAAGGTGAGGGTGGTAATACTTGTCTTCCTTATTTTATGAGGTCATAATGATGCTTAAATAAAACACTTATGAAAGCACTTTGAAAAATATAGAGAGTTGTATATGTTAGGGATAATTAGAGCTCGTCTTCAAGCATAGAAATGCTCATCCTTGCTTGGAAGGTCATATCAAAGACTTAAAACAAACTGCTTTGTGAAAGCAGTCTGAAATAAAGTCCCAATATATAACTCATTCACTCATTCATGCATGCATGCATTCATTCACTGCATAAGGATTAATATCAACTGAATGAGGTTCTTAGCTTTCAGGACCTCACAGACCTGAAGGAGGAATGATATGTCAACAGATAATTACATCAACATAAGTACAATAGCAGAGGTATTAACAAAGCCTCATAAGAGCACAGAGGAAGAAATGGTAAATCCAGCCTAGAAACATCATAAAAGATTTTTTCTGGAGATAGAGTCTTGCTTTGTCACCCAGGCTGGAGTATAGTGGCACAATCATAGCTCACTACAGCCTTCAGCACCTGAGCTCAAGTCATCCTCCTGCCTCAGCCCCGCAAGGACCTGAGACTACAGGCACAGGATGCCACCAAACCTAATTTTTTTTTTTTTAATATTTTGTAGAGACGGGGTCTTGCTATGTTGCCCACACTGGTCTCAAACTCCTGGGCTCAAGCAATACTCCCACCTCAGCCTACTGAAATGCCAGCATTACAAGCGTGAGCCACACCTGGCCATGGAAGATTTTTCATATATTTTCATAAACATATGAATTGATTATATAGGATAAGATTGCTATTCTAACATACTCTTCTTCATCCAACTCATCATTCTTTCCTAACCAATGAATGCAGTGCTCAACAATCGTAAGGTTAAATGTTCCTATGCATAATATTCCTGTGTTCCTGTGCATAATGATGTAAATAACTAGAATTTTTTTCCTAGGTTACAGAACTTTTTTCTGTATGTGTCTGGCCTACCAGTAGTTTACTAATAGTTTCAAGTCCTAGAAGCTGATAATCCTATTGTTCCGTATCTAGGAGCAACTGAGAGAAACTAATGTTATCTCAATCTTTCCTCAACATCTAAGACCACATGGTCAGGTCTTGACATTATCAACTGAGCAGTTCAAGAAAATTTTACCCTGATTATCCACATTGCCTTTATATTCTGAATAACTGAATTGCTCAATCACTTTCTCTCTTTCCTGTATAAAATGAAATGATTTCAGTATTAATGGTTAGAATAAATGTCAATATATTATTATTTCTTCTTTTTCCCTAAAAAATTTATAATTCAGCTTGCTGTGATCCAGGGTCAGTTATTCTCCCTTGAATATGTATTTGGTTTTCAATTCCTTATACGTACCCTTGTATGAAACACCATAACCAGAGGACAGAGTAAAAATTGTCCTAGGAACATTACGCTAAAGGGACTCCAGTGCAAGTCATGGTTAGAAAGGAAGCCAGAGTTAAGCAAACTTTTTTTTTTCTTTTTTGTTTGTTTACTTATTTATTTATTTATTTTTGGACACAAGGTCTTACTCTGTCACTGAAGCTAGAGTGCAGTGGCACGATCATAGCTCACTGCAGCCTCAAACTCTTGTGCTCACACCACCCTCCCACCTCAGCCTCCTGAGTAACTAGGACTACAGGTACGCTCCGCCATGTCTGGCTAATTTTTTTTTTTCCTAGATATGAGGTCTCACTATCTTTTCCAAGCTAGTCTTGAACTCCTGACCTCAAGCAATCCTCCTGCCTTGGCCTCCTAAAGTGCTGGAATTACAGGTGTGAGCTACCATGCTGGCCCAGAGTTAAGCAAACTTTTAATGCTTAACATGGTTCTTAGCAAAGTGCTACAGGGTTAATCATTAACATCTGAAATTTACAAACAGCCAAAGACACAGAAGAAAAATCTATTAGGTCAATGTCCTGGAGTCCTAATCTTGTGCAGGAGCCCCAAGACCTTCAATGCAAAGGTGCTGCCACCAATGCCCCCATCCCTCTGGTGTGGGTCAGTCATAGTGGTTTCTCTGTCTGTTTGTTGTTCCCTGTTACTGAGGTAGCTCAGGAACCAGTCTCATGAATACAATGGCTGAATTATATAACAACACTCACCTTTAAGCCTGGCATTTTTATCCACCCAATCACCAATGATGGCTCCCAGGACCAGAACAGACCCTGCCACCACCAGCCCGTAGACTGCAGTCAAAAGGAGGTTGTTTCCATAGAGCTCTACCAGAAATACAGACACTGCAAAGTGCCACATCCGATCTCCCTTGAATAAGAAAAGATGAGAAAATGCTTTGATGAAATATTTTTAGTTACTATTTAATTGTACTCAGGAAGTTACTTCCTTATCAAAAGGGCACTTTCTGGCTACATCATGAGACTTTCAAAGTCAATAATTACTCTATGGATTGAATACTGGTCAGATGTTAAAACTCTTCATCCCAGCACAATGGAAAATATTCTTGCCCAATTATTAAGAGAACTCGAAAAAGCATGATATTAATGAAACACATATACTCCTTATCATTTTAGGAAAAAAATGCAGTTTCCAGACCCCCAAGATGGCTTTTTGAGACAAAAACCTATTCTCTTGTTTGCCTGTTTTCTCCTCAGGCCTGGAATTTGTCTATGCTGACTGGAGAGGAATAAAGCAGTTTGCTACTGAACCAGAGCTAAATTACAGTCTAACATAATCACAAATATTAGTAATACCTTGAACATCGAGAAAAAGCCAGCTTCCCAATTTGAAAATGACAGGTATGGACAGTTCATTCTATGATCTCTAAAGTCTCTTTTACCTCTAACATTCGAAAATATATGTTCTATTTCATAAAACAAATAAATTTCAGTCATAAAATCATCAGAGTAATCAGAAAGATGAAATCAATAAGGGCAAATTCTGGCACCACATAAATGAAGATGTTAGAAATAAATGCCTAAGTAGGCCGGGCGCGGTGGCTCACCCCTGTAATCCTAGCTCTCTGGGAGGCCGAGGCGGGCGGATCGTTTGAGCTCAGGAGTTCGAGACCAGCCTGAGC